CGCTTTATAAGACCTCAGGGTTGGTGTGGGAGATGGGTAAGATCCTCAGCCGTTACCCCCGTGACCGGATTTAGTTTTAAAAAGTAGGACGTCGACTGAACTAAAGCAGACAGACAGTTCTCTGCAGTGAGAATGTCCAATTACCAGAAGAATAAACACACATGGAAGTGTTGCATCTATTAGACAGAAAGCAGAAGGCCCTGCAGCGGCCATCTTATCAGGGGAGCCATGATCACTTAGTGGTGAGAAGTAAATATACTTCCAATGAAGCGTAGTAAATAGTCTGGTTTCACCTGAGACGGAGCCACGTCCTTGAGTCTCCACAATGACGCACCCTGTAAACCACAACTAGACGGACTGGTTCTATCCGCTGCTCAGTATAAACTAGACAGAACATGTGGTTTAATTCTACGTAAAAACTGAAAAACGTAGATTTGACTCGTTAAAGTTTTAAATGTTCTGAAGAACACCGACTGAGTAAAGCAGAATAACGTTACAGTCTAAGCAGCAGATGACTCAGACCATGCTACCATTAGACTATTACTGACCAGACCTCAGAGCTTTTAATGAGATAAAGACGGGTTCTAAAGGGTCTCTAGCAACACCACAGACAAGAACCTAACTGATGACGAAGAATGTGCTGTGATGACTCGTGACCATATGCATTACAAAGCCTGTGAAAAGGACCCATGGTTCTACAGAACAATGCAGACTATTGTCAGATCAACAAGCAGACCCCATTCAAGAAGATCTCTCTCTGTTGCCATCACGCAGGGAAGCCCAGCCAATCAGAGCCACGCAGGAGGTGGGGGGGCCAGGGTGACCTCCTTCAACAGCTGCCTAAACCCAGAGCTCTCTACTGGCATCGCACTAGACCCAACCCACTGGGTCAATGAACTACCTTCAGCCAGGCCAGCTTTTCCCATGCAGCTTTCCAACATCCGATTTTACATGGCCGGAGTGAATTCTTTCCTAAAGCTGCCAAAGTGTTCAGCCCCCACTGTAACGAAGCGATTCTTCACGAGATGTAAAATAAAAGTGCCTACCTCCTCACCAGCTCCAGGAGGACACGTTTGTGTTCTCACCTACTTTAGATACTTGTTGCTGATCGTCACACAGACTAAAGGCAGATCAGCAACAGTCTGGTGTCAGGATGGAGAGTACCCTCTAGTTCCGTCGCCTCACCTTCTCCCACTTACAGCCTCCAGGAACAGCCATGAGACTGGGACCACCAAGCGTGCTTTAACAGAGCCAACAGAACTCTCGGGTTGTCTCAAATCCAGCTAAAGAAAATATGGAGACGAGCTGGGACAGACTGTGGACAAGAGGCTGAATGTGGGAGCATCACATATGGAGTGGTCCACCAGCTGTCTGGGTATGAACAACATGGTCACTTGTCCAAGCAAGAAAAACAAATGATTTAATATGCTTAATAACCCTAAAACGTCTACAGTCCAATAAAATTTAAGGTTAAACATGTGCAGAATAGGGTTGTCACGGTGTGAAAATTTAACCTCACGGTTATTGTGACCAAAATTATCACGGTTTTCGGTATTATCGCGGTATTTTTTTAAACATGTTAAATTTTCAGGAAACTAAATAAACCCTGTATGTCAGGAAAATATTGTCCTCAGTTTGTGTCTAAATTTAGTCTAAAATGTGCTATTTTGTAATTATGTTGTTTATTTGTTTACATATTCCCCCTTTAGTCTTTAAAATACCAATATTTGCCCATAACTTCTTATTTTTTGTCTGTTTGAGGTCATCAATTTAAAGATATTAGTTCAGATGATGCTCAGTACTCAAGTAGTCTTCTAATCAGATACTTTTTTACCCTTACTTGAGTAATAAACTATATCAGGAAAATATTGTCCTCGGTTTGTGTCCTTCCAGTGAGCTTTGCAGATCTGGGAAAATGTCATCAGGCAGTAATCATTGTTAAATTCATAATTATTCTCGGAGAGAGACCAACTCTTATCGGCCTCTGGGAGCCCCGTAATGCATAGCGTCATTTCAACATGGGGGTGTCTGCGACACGGTTTATATGCAGGTAGCGGCGCTGCGGCTGCTTTATATAGCCACTCGTTGCATTCTCCCTCAACCCAAATCCTCGGATCACGCATTTTAGCTAAAACACTAACGTTAGCTTGCCTTGCGTTGACTGTGGAGTTGTGGGTGATGGTCACGCAGATGTGTCATGAGATTTGAAGCGTTGCTGCCTTTCACAGACTCTTTTTCTGCACGTGTTGCAAACAGGATAGCCGTCTTCTATCAACTGTCCCTCGGCATTCTTCAAATATCTAAAAGATGCCCGTACTTCCGACTTTGTCTTCTTTGAGGGATAATAAATGTCCTGAGCGCTGCCGTCTCCTCCTTTGGCGATCATTTCAGCTTTAGCTTCAAGAAAGTTTTGGTTGTAAACAACAAAGTGCGCATGTGCCGCCGGCAACTTCAGCAGATTATACGGTGGCTGGTAAAGGTCACCGCGCCTACACCGCAGCCACGATAATCCACCGAGATAATAAAGTTTTTTTAAAACAAGACGGTTATTGTTATTGTCAACTTTTTTACCGGGGTTTACCGCTACACCAGTTACCGTGACAACCCTAGGATTCTGAAACTGCAATAAACCAAACAGCAGTAAACACACTGGTGCTAGCTGAGTGCAGACTGACTGGTTTGTTCTCTACCAGCAGCAGATTGTAACATGATTTTTTTGGACCCCCCACCCCACCCGCCTGCCCCGGCATGACAAATGAGGCCAGAGTCGAGTTACAGGGTTAGGCTGGGGGTCAGTGGCCGGACGAGGAGCCACACAGGAAAAGAACGTTCGGGCTGACTGTCTTCTAGAGGAAGTGAAGATGCAAACCTGTCAGGATGAGAAACGCAGAGCGGTCTGCTGAAGACGTTAAGGCTTGGTCTGCGTGGGCCTGAGGGGAGGATTGGATTTAAGAGGCCATCGCAGGGGATAAACATGAGGGGGAGATTAATATTTTCCTAATAGAGACCGACTTTAAGGTTGTGGCAGAGCTCCCTCAGCCTGAGGTCTCTTCCTTAAATTTAGATTCTCTGACATGATGACATGGAGCTCTTCAGCTGTTGATCTGTTTGTCCCACTCAGCCAAAACAGATGCAGCACCAGTTACTATCCCATTTAATGCTCCAGAGTGGTGATCAGCACTTCCAGCATTAGGAACTCATGTGAGGTAAGCCAGCCCTAATTCCCAGAGGATGAAGGTGTGACACATCATACGAGTGTATAGGTGCGGATAAATATGTCCAACCAAATCACCTTAACCTGATTAGAGTTGCTGTGGCACACCACACAGAACCAGAGCCAAAACAGAAGTGTGTTGCCTTTAGGATCCCAAAGATGAGAACTAACAGATTCGACATTCACTAAACCAACTTCAGAATTACAGAAGACTGAAAAAGTTATTTCCTCTTAGATTTTAAAATGTTGTGCATTATCCCAACCGACGGGACAGAAGTCCTCATCAAAAGACACAATTCTGATTTCTGGGCAGCAGTAGCTCAGGAGGAAGAGCGGGCTGTCTAGTAATTGGAAGGTTGCAGGTTTGACCCCAGCTCCCACCAGAAAATGCTGTTGTGTCCTTGGGCAAGACACTTCACCTGCCTTGCCTGCTGGTGGTGGTCAGAGGGACCGGTGGCGCCTGTGTACGGCAGGCTTGCCTCTGTCAGTGTGCCCCAGGGCAGCTGTAGCTACATTGTAGCTCATCGTGTGAATGGCTGTGTTGTGAAGTGCCTGGGGGGTTGTGGAACCCTAAGAAGGTGTAATACAAATACAGGCCATTTGGTTTGTTTTGCTGAGAGGGCACAGAGGAGTCAAATGTCCTTTTTCTGCTTGACAATTGCCTTGGGTTAGCTGAGTAAACACAGACACAACGTCCTTTTGTGGCTCCAGTTGTTCACGTGAACAAAAGACATTTTGTCAGGCAGTGGCACAAAATGGTTTTCCCTCCATTTTCCATTTGGACAGAGAAAAGTTGGCAGGCCGGTAAAAAAACATACGGAAAATAAAAACTCCAGGTCAACGCCTTTCAGATGCCAGCTTCACCGATTATCCTGGGATGGTGTGATTATCCTGCCCGTCCCACCAGGATTGGTCGAGCTGACAGGATGATCAGGCACAACTGCACCCAGGAAGCATGGGTGGGTCGCAGTACCAACAGCTTTGGGCTGAGTAAAGAGCATCGGACAGAGAGAAGATGTCTATGTGAGGTATGTGTGGTCAGCTGGTATGTGTGTGTACTGCCCACAAGGTATGCAGGGATCAGACTACAGGTACTCATCAGTTTAGTTCGTTACAATAATAATCAGATTTAAACATGCACCAACTGTTATTTAACTTTAACATTCGTCGCTGCTGGAAGCCAAATATTGATCTAAAGTGAAATATTGATATTGATCCTTCAAAAGCGGAGTTGAAGCAAACCATCTGATATTTGCTGGTAAGCTTTAGCGGCGTTGATCATCTCCACCATGTTGGCAGCTGTTGGCTAGTGAGGGCTGAAGCAGCATGATGAAGTTTTAAAGCACATCTGCTCTGAAGCAGATGGTGAAGGCATCCACATGTGCAGATGAAACCAGGAGCTACGGCTTGAGAGCTATCAATAATCATAAAATAACCATCTGAACGTCCTAAACCACAGCAGAGAGGAAAAACAGTCCAACGAGCTCCTGGACGGGATCCAAGTGCCGGAGGAGCAGGAGGTCCTCTGGCTGACTGGAGCAACAGGAGTTATAAAAACAGCTAATAACACCGACCAAATACACTTATATACTATCGCTGCTTTTATACCACTGATCATATTTAACTTTTCCTGTCACTTTCCTAGAGTTTCCAGAGTTTTTAGCTGCTTGGTGACCGGTAACTGATCGTTTAGCATCCCGAGCGGCGCGAGCTGCTTCCCCGCCGCTGCCCCAAGCAGCTAGCTACCTTCAGCGTTTCTGTGTGGAAGTAAAGCCTCTCCACTCACCTGCCCTCGGCCATCCTCTTCACATTGTAAACGACACGTTAGAGGAAGAAGAAAAGCTGCGACTTGTTTCGGAGGTTGTAGTTTTCTAAGCGGACAGAGCCGCCCGAGCGGGGGAGTCCAGGATAAGTGAATCCGATGGAGAGGCTCCGCCTCCCCGCGTGAGTCATGGGCTGAGCCGGGGGGGTCAGTAACCCCACCGAGGCATCCCAGCTCCTCCCGCTCTAGTCCCACACCGAGAAGGCTGTCAGCCTTACCTGCACCTCCACCCGGCGGTCCAACTGGGCAGGAGACAGCAGGAGTTGGAGGACTGGAGGGCACAGATGAGTTAAACCCAGATGATCCGTGATGATCAACAGTGGCGGACATAACAGTTTGGGGCCCCAAGGCAGGCAAAGGCTTGGGGCCCTCAGCAGCAGCTGACCGGAACCTTTTTCAATCCTTAGTTAAAAAGCGCTGGAGCAAGCTTTTGCGACTTGTTTTCCTTTGCAGCATTAGCAACAATGCAGCTCTCAGTAATTGCTACTCAGTAGCAGATTTAGCAATTTGGGGGCCCAAGGCGAACACAGACAAGGGGCCCCCATACCTAAATGTTTTCTTTATAATTGTAATTTGTTAATAAAACACCATATTATCTTTGTTTTGTAAAGAATGTGAAACTGCATAAAAACAACATCGGACTGACGCAAAATAGAACAGTTCTTATATGTGAGGCCACATCTGTTTGTATTAATGTGGAGTTCGTCTGTATATTTCCTTAGTTGTTATCTAAATACATTTTTTGACTCAAAATATTGCTTGGTGTCTTTCAACAAAGTTCTTATATTTTATTTTGCCCCATTTCATCAACATCAAGAGCTTTTGAGGGTCACCGTTTATCAGTTGCTTATATTTTACATTTCCTTTAGAAATTCAAACATATTTTCTCCAAAAAGTGTTGATTTTTGGACTACATGACTACAACCGCAAAGACTACGACCGCAAATTTGTTCTGACCAATCAAAATCATAGCGGTCAGGGCTAGCCCCCCCCCCCCCCCCCCCCCAACATAAGTGGTCCCCAGGCGGCCGCCGACCCATGTCTAATGGTAAGTCTCCACTGATAAACATGCGTAACTAGTTCAGTCTGAGCTTGGTCATGACTAATCCTGTTTGTTGGAAACTACATTTGCATAGCTGGACAGGATTTGTTTGTATTTAAAATCCTCAGAGTGAGGCATCAGCTGTTCTCTGGTGTGGTTCTAGATGACAGGAACATGTCCTCTCTGCACAGAGCGTGGACAGGCTAACAGAGACACCTGCTGGACAGGACTGCAGCTTCGCAATAACATCTATGCTGTTTATTTTCAAACAAAACACTTTATTCACAATTACCATTAGATCTCTAGCTCTATGGAATCAGGAGCTAACAACAGCAGGCAGCTAACCTTCACATTTAGGTTTACATCGTGTGTGTTTTAAGCAGACAACTCATCACAGTGAACCCTTTAAGTGCTTCTCTCATAAGGAAATGACAGACAGACATCTTGTAGGTACCGAACTCCCCAGAGTCACACCTCTCCCACAACACTCAGCTCGCCATCTTCTATCGGACAATAAGGTCTGTTTCTCCAGTATTATAAAAAATATTGTAAACATTTATATTAATTGCACAACATACATTCAAATACACACTGTACTGTACAGCAGGGTTCTGTCCTGTAGCACCATGTAGAACCAGCTAAACTACCTGGAGATGGCGTGGGGCTGACCTTACAAGGGAATGACGTTATATTTACTGGTGACACACTGTGTGCACGGTCCAACGTTCTGGAGGGCTCCACTGATGGTGAGGCGGTGTTGGTTCAAGCTGAAGGGTAAATCCTGCACATCTCACTAACGTGAGGCAGACGAGCTTTATCAGAGACATTCATCAGTGTTAAGACCTACTATGGTACAAAAGATGACAGCGAAAGGTTCTGTACGGTGAGTCCTTCACTTCCATGTGCAAACACGGGGGGGGGGGGGTCTTTTTATCCAGCATGAGCTACAGACTGGACGTCATGAGGCCATGACATCACTAGCAGCAGAGTCCCGTCGTAGCTCATCATTCTACCATAGAGTCCCGTTTGCCATGAAAGAAAGCAGATCGAAGCGAAATCCTGTAAATTATCTACAAACATCACTGTCAGGCTAAATGGCTGGTGGGTACCAGGCTGCCCACTTATTTACAGCAGAGCGGTGCCGTTACTTCAGCTGCTGGAGGGTAATGAGTGTAAACTGTGCTGAGGTGTTTCCGGAGTCTTTAAGCTTCCTCAGCCTTAGCTTCTCCTCCTGCTGGGAAAAGTCGACTGAGAGCAGCTCTCCCAGAAATGAAACCCAAGTTGGAGAACAGAAGTATCTCAGGTTGTGGTCCACAGAAGTGCAGTCAAGGTCTTCATGTTGGTTTATGTTCATCCTTCTTCCTCTGCTAGGAGATGTGGGTGGTTAACCAACCCAGCCCTCCCAGATCTGCCCTCTGCACATGAAAAATAAAATGATGTTCAGTTAGATGTGCCACTGCAAGCGTTCCCCGGAAAGCACGGCTCCAGTTCCTACCGGGGCTGCAGGAAAAAGCAAGAAAGCACAACAGCAGGAGTGGAGACGCCACATAAGAAGATGTTTCTGCGTATGTTTCTGGAGTTAACACAAGACTTTTGGATGAGCACAGCAGGCTGATGGTCATGTGACTGAGCTAAGATGTGGATGGAGACGAGAGGAGCAGATGGGTCACGGCAAACTCACAGTGACTTGGAGGAGGGCCTCTTCACTTTTGGCCTCTTTCGACGATGAACTGGCCTGAAGCATGCACAGCAGGGCGAATGCACGTGCATGGAGACACACACACACACACACACGCACGCACACACGCACACACACACGCACAGGTGCACACACACATATATGCATGCACACACAACCCCCACACGCACAGCAGAAACAAGCAATTAGGCATCATTACACATAAAAGGAAACAGCAGAAGCTGCAAAGCAGATTTGCACGTTAGTCCTCCTTGATGCTGGTTCTTTGTCCTAAAAGGTTGTGACTGCATCAGGCATGTGTAGAGGAGGTTGTCTCAGAGCAACACTATTATATTTTATTCTCCTGACTACCCAATAGGCAGAGACATGGCCAAAGACTCACTGGGGAGCCAGAAACCTCCCTGAGCTCAAGCAGCAGCTTCACCGCAGCTGGACTAGTTTTTAAAAGTTATTAGCTGTGAGCAGCATAGAGGAAGAAATACCTGTAGTCACTGAAGTGGTTTTTCTCCTTTCCTCCTAAAAAGAAGTAGAGAAAACATCTGTCAGGTTGCTCTATAGAAACACGAGTAAACATGTGTACCTGAGAGGTTTGACCCACCTCTCTCCAGATTACACTGCTTATGGCCCTTGCAGCCCCGCAGGACCATGAGCTGCTGATGCATTGAGTTCAGAGCGTTCCGATCAAGCGTGCTAACTGCATTTATCAGCTGCAGGAACAGCAGGGACAAAATGTCAGCAACAGCTTTGGAACAACATCGGTGCTCAGAGGAATGCAGCGTGTTGGAGTTATTTCTGTGTTTGTGTCTGTTATCTGCTGCTGTCAGGTACGGTACCTGGTATGGGTCCGTGTTCAGGTCAAAGTATTCCAGGAAGCCAGTAGCAAACTCACAGAACAGGAAATTGTGTGTGTCATTGATGGTCCGGAGGCACCAGTATGTGTTGTTGTTGGCACTGGTGCATGCACAGAATGGTCCCACTGGGACAGAGGGGGTGGGGTGAGGTTTGGATAACAAGAACAGGGAGCCATGAAAAATGTTTTCATCACATCAGGAGTGGAAAACAGCACCAGAAACAAAAGATCTGTCCCACCACCCACTACACACACAGCTACTCCTCACTTGTCCAGAAGGGGGCGGTCTGCCAGTGATGGTTGTCATGGGTGAAGCAGGTGAGGCCAGGCATGCTGCAGGTGTCGTTGTTCTGGAGCCTTTTGAGGAATTTACGCAGTTTCTTCCTGCGTTTCTGTTCCTTCTGCAGCCACTGAGTCTTCAGCTTGGACGGCATTCTGGTAAAAACACAAACTCGTGTTGTAAACCAGACGCTAGAGGACCGTTCCGTTACTGCCTCACAAAGCTGAGCGGAACCATACCTGAGCGGGAGCGTCCGTCCTGCGCTGAGCTGGTAGGTCTCTTTATTTCTGAGCACATCGCTGAAAGGACAAAGGACAGCTGTGAGGTCTGGCTGACCTGCGTTGGGTTTACGTTCACCTGGTGACCTCTCACCTGGGAGAGCTACACTGACATTCCTCTGGCCGAACCTTTTTCAGGTGACCTTTGACCTCACGGAGGTTCTTGATTTTGGTCTGCAAAGTTTCAATCTAAGTGCAGCAAATACATTCATAGTGTCACTCAAATCACGAGTCTCAGCTGTAGAAGAGAAATTATGGGTCAGGATTAGGAATAATCTGTCAGCACCTCGTGTTCAATGTGCAGCTTGTGGTCCTTCCACGCTTGGAGGGACTTATAGAGTCCTCCATCACACTTCACAGTGTCATTCATAAGGATGGAGCACCTGCAAACACACACACACACACACACACACACACACACACACACACACACACACACACACACACACACACACACACACACACACACACACACACACGGAGGTGTTTCATATGGATCAAGAATACCCCCCCCCCCCCCCCCCCCCCCCATCAGCACCAACAGCTCCAGCAGCTCACGTAGGATTCATCTATCAACCCCAGAAGCTACTGGCGTCTGGTCTCCTGCCCTGGAATACAGATTACCCAAATAATCCCCTAGTTTGAGAGGAAAACACATTTATGCTATTAAATCAGTTTTCTGATGTCGTCATTCACAACTTGTACTAAAACAAAATTATCATAAACTACAGAAAACCAAATTTATCCCGGATTACTGGTTTCAACCAAAATCTGCTGCTCTCTGGTGGAGGATCAAAGTACTGCAAGTAACTTTTATTTGTTTTCATTATTTTTGTTTTGTTTGATATTGTGTAAAAAACTACTTAGGATAATTATGTAAGTTTGTAATTGTTATATAATTATTAGCCAACAAATAGTTCAATTTAAAAATTCTATGAATGTGTCAGGTTTTAGGGGCTGAATGTGTTTTTGAGGGAATATTATCAACAGTTGATTCACCTTTTCTAATATTAGGATTACTTGGTTCTTTTACAGCTCTGAAATCACAAATTAGTTTCTGACACCTGAAAACAACACAATTGTTGAGAAGAACAACCTGACATTATTTTAAGGAGTGCATGTTGTTTCCCAGAACCTTCCATAGAATTTGATCAAATCTAGAAAATAACGTGATTTTATGCAGCATCATAAGATCCAGCATCATAAGATCCTGCAGATATGTTAGGAGTTTGAAGTTTTTCACGGGACTGGTATCTAGGGTCGGGTACCGGAGGAATCGGTCATTTTAGGCATTTTAAGGCAAATTCTGTGGAACCTACCAAGGACCGATTTACGTGAAATGAAACGATGCCTTGTTTCGGCATCTGTCCTTCATTAACAAGAGTTGCGAGAGCGATCTTCCCAAGATAGACAACAGCGCACGTGCAAGAGCGTAATGTCGTCGGTCACTGCTGGCGAGGCAAGCTGTAAACAGAGCAAGCCTCTAAAGTTTAGGTCCACTTAAAAAATAATACAATGGGTGAACAGGTGATGATGACAACAGCGACAACGATCTAAGGGAGGCATCATTGTCTTAATCTGCAGCAGCAGTGAAATTAACTGTTTAAAGGTGCATTATGTAGGAATGAAGTAAAAATGGCATCCTGTGGTAAAATTTGGTTACTGAAACCACTTTAAACAACTCTGCAGCTTTTCGCCGGCCATCATCAAATTACAATTGTCGTTTCTTCCTAAAACTGCCAGTGTTGTGCTGTCGTCAGGTAAAAACTCTGCAGTATATTTGAATTTAAATCTGCCATTGCTATTGGCTAAGAGGTACACTTTGACGTTAGCTGGTACATTATGATGTAACAATGTCGTTGTGGGCCTGTGTGTGTGTGTGTGTGTGTGTGTGTGTGTGTGTGTGTGTGTGTGTGTGTGTGTGTTTTAGCGGCTCTGGTAGGGGGTGACTTGCTCTTAGAGGTTTTCATATTGAAGAATTTAGTACAACACTATAATGAAAAAAAACAGTTGTGTGTTATTTATAATGATATTTATTAAATATGGTTATGTATTGAGAAAAATATATATTTAATTAAAAAAGAGATTTAACTCATTATTAAACACTCAAAAGCATTGAAACTTGGTACCATTAAGTACTGGTATCGATTCCTATGTTACATATATACTGTATTGGTACAAACGTCATAAGTAACCATCCTTAATGGTGTTGGGAGGAAGGACAAGATAAGGAGTCTTCCTCATTAAGATTCATGATAAGTAAACATCTAGCCTCTGATTGGATAACAGCAACATAACTTCCTCTGCCTTCGTTTGCTCTTTTTTCTTGGGTAAAAAATACAACATTGATGTCGGTTTTATCTCCTCAAGTAACTCAAGCCTGAAGGAATTCCACCATGCTGTGGTGTTGCTAATGCTAACAGTTAGCTTATACCATCTGAAATATGCTCTGCTCTCTCC